AGCCCAAGGCCCCCCCCCCCCCCCCGGGCGCAGCACCGGGGAGAGGACGGGAGGAACCCAGGGAGGGGGCAAGACTGTGGAGTGCAGTCCTCCAAGAAGGGAGGAGGGGACCGAGGATGGGTGCGGACGCCCGGCTGGCCCAGGCGCAGGGAGGGGGAAGGTGGCTAATTGTTTGGGGCGGTTTTCCCGGATTTATCTATAAGCACGCGCACGTCACGCAGCGCTCCTCCCGGGGCCCCGAATCGATCGGCGAGCTGAGAGGTCTAAAGAGGAGGACGGACGAGGAGATGCTCACCTCGGGGTTCCTCTGGCCGCCGCGCTAAGCCCGAGTCGGGGTTGGGGGAAGGGGGCAGGGAAAGGGAAGGGAGGACCAGCCTCGGGGGGAGCCGACTTCTGGCTCAGAGTGACGTGCAGGCCCCGCCTTCCCCTCCGGCCACGTGCAAAGGCTTGAAAGGAAAGAGGGTGTCGGGAGGCCTGCTGGGTAATGTAGTTCGCCTTTCTTTCCCGGGATGGCGGGCCCTGGAGAGCCGGGCGCCACTGGGACGCGGGGGATGCAGCCGGAGCGGCAGGGAAGGTTGACGATAGCGACACCGAAACCCGCCGCTCAGCCACCTCTGACGCTGGCGCGACCCTGGGTGGGACCTCTATAGAGTAGGAAAACTGGGGGCTTAGGCGCTGTCCAAGCTTGCTGGAAACGGTGGTTTGGGGTCCGAAAAGCTTTAAGGATGAGGAATTCCGTACTTAAAGTGCAAAGTCTGTCTTAATGGCAGATAAAAGGGAGCTTTGTGTATGGGGGAGGAGGAGTGGCGTTATTAATGCTGCATTAAATGCCATCGCCGGTTATTGAAATGCATATGTTATAATTAACATTTGAGTATCTTTGTGGCAGGGGCGGGATGTTGTAATTAGATATGCACTTTGCAGCCAATTAATTTTCCATTGGCCGCGCTAAGGGCTGGGACATGGCAGGTGGGGGGATTCAATGCAGTGGATAATTCCATAATCATTTAACCATATCACCAAGGTTTTGGTTAAATCTGAGCTCGGCACAGGGAGGCCTAGAGAAATATAAAATCTATGCCTCACAAAGCAAAAGGATTAGAAACTCATTGCAAGAACTATGTGACATAGTATAACTGTTATAGAAATCTATTTTTTTAATAGAATTATCTGTTTAATTTTATTTATTCACTCATTTATTTTAATTTGACCAGAGAGAGACAGAGAGGGACAAAGTGAGAAAGCAAGCCACCAGGTCCAGGACTCGAACCATAGTCAACCATGTGGGCATATCCAGCTTCTTAACCACCTCCTCACCACCTGCTGGTTCCCTAGAAATCTATTTCTTAATAGGTTCATATGATGTTTGGTGAGCACTTTCCACAGACCAGCCACATCTGAGAATGCCTGGACAGATAAGACCCTCAGTCTGTGCCCTTAAAGTCTAGTATAGGGACCACAGCCAACACAATTAGAGGGAATAAATCAACATTTAACATAAGGATAAGCACAAAGTGATATGAGCCCTCCTCCCCCACAGGGCCAGCCAACCCCCATGAAGGGTGGATAGGGGTGAGAGAGGGTCTGGGAAGGCTTCCTGAAGACAGTGGTACTGGAACAAAGAATTACTGTTTACGGACAAAGGTAAAGGCAAGGGTAAGCAGCTGACAAGGCAACAAGGTATAACGGTTCCAGATGAGAGAGAACAAAGCTAATTCTGAAGGTCTCAGAAATTTGGCAGGGCAAAAGAAGGCAGGTTGTTGGCTAGGGGTGGAAAATAGAGCAGCAAAGGGATACTAGCTGGGCAGCGAGTCTCGAAGACAGGAGGAGCCTGGCCAACCTCCGAGAGAGGTGGGGCTTGGCACACAGGTAGGCGGACTTTTGTTTAGTGTGGAAAGCTTGTCTTCTAGGCTTGAGCCCCTCTTGAGCCAAGCCAAGTCATGAAGGGACAGCAAAGCAGCATTCACACGCACATCCTGCAGAACAACTCACTTGATTCTTGTATCAAAGGGCATGGCGGGCCCATCCTTCCCTTCTAGGAGGCAGCAGGCCTAGAGATGTAAGCAACTCATCTGCAGCCATGAATTGGAAGAAGCACAGTGGGTACCAGAAGCCAGTTGTCCGGGTGCCAGGCCTAGCCTCCTTTCCCTCCGCCCTCCAAAGGAACATGTCTAAGCGCACCTGACGCTTCCCACTGCTTTGCCTCTCTTGGCATTTATGCCTCGTTGGCTCAGCATTGCGTTGTTTGTAGGCTTTAACATCTGGACAATCCCCTGGGTTTACAAAACCTAAAATGATCGCACCAGGGTGTATCCATCCAACAAATTCCCATTTACTTACCTTGTGCCCGTTTTGCACATTTTGTGACAGGCACACCACCTGCAAAGGAAACAAGAATGGGATTGTCTAGGTCTTGGCTTTCCTTTTGCTTTCATTCACACCCCCAGAGGTGAGGAGAGGCTGAGCTGTGTGCGGCGTGTGAAACAGCACACACCCCAGTTTGCGATGTGTGCCTTCGGAGAGAGGGACAGCAGGGACAGCAGACTCTCAGGTCAGCCTGACCTCTGGGTTTGATACTTCCTGGCCGTGACCTTGGATAGCTTACTTAACCTCCAAACAGGGTAACCTTGGGTGGCTTACTCAATAACTTTCCTTGGCCTTGTGAAAACCAGCGGCAATGATATATTAATGTATTACATTTACCGTGGCTCTGTCATATGGAAAGTGCCCAATGATGGCTCATTCCCTTCCTTGTCCCAGGGTCTTTCTGGCCCTTGAGAATGAGCCCTGCATTTTTTTTTTTTTCCACACTTAGGCAGGCAGAGCTGGTGTTGCAGGGAGAGTTCCCAAGATGACTCATCCTAATGTGTGAAGTAAGTTAGGTTTGTCTTCAAGGAACTTTGGCCCAGTTCTAGTCATCACCTCCTACTGACCTATCTCTCTTCACTCCCACCAGCTAACAGTGGTTTATGTTCTCCTCCTCCCTATCCTGGTACCCAAGAACCCCCACAGCACCTACCCCACCCAGGCTGCCTTCTCTGGGCAGTGCCCTGAACCCCCGCATTCTGCTCCCTGCCCATCAAAACTGCCTCCTGGGGAACCAGTGGGTGAGGTGGTGGTTAAGGATGCTGGACTCCTCCTACTTGGCCAACCGCAGTCAAGTCCCAGACCTGGCGGCTTACTTGCTCACTCCCCCCCCCCTAACTTTGTCCCTCTCTGGTCAAATTATAAATAAATAAATAAATAAATAAATAAATAAATAAATAAATAAATAAATAAAGTTAAAAACAAAAAACTATCCTCCCCCGGGCCTGCTCCATGGCTCAGTGGTAATGAGAGAGGGACAGCGGGGACAGCATACTCTCAGGAGAAGCTGGATCGCACACGGTGACTGGGGTTCAAATCCCCACCTGGTCAGCCTGAAACACGTCAGACATACATGCAAGTGCCCAAGGTCCTACATGCTGGAGGGCTGGAGGAAGGGGATGGCGGCGTGACCGGGGTGCGCCTTTCTTCCTCTCTGTCTTCCTCACGTGCACACATATGTGCTCTGTCATGAATAATGCAAGAGACCTGCTTATCTGCTGCTTCTCCAGAACCTGGCTCTCTACCTTCAGGTCATAAGCTTTCATTAACGTATAAGACATTCTTGTCATTCTCTTCTCCTCCACCCTGGCATTTCTGTCCCTTTCTGAGAGTTCTCAGAGTGGCACCCATCCACTCTGAGGTAGGCATTTTAGGTGGAACTTTGGGAAGAAGGCTGTGTGGATCCCTCAGACCAAGGCTCCTCAGGGTGGGAGGCCTGGGGTTTATTTGGCCTTTGTCCTGTGTCCTTCCTTCTCTGCTCTATAATTGATCTTTAAGTCCAGCCTCCAGGCTTGGGTAAGAAGAGCTGCTGGGTACAGAGTTAATGAGCTGCAGATTCCTGGGGGGCAATGACTCTGGCATCCGTTTAACCATGGCAGCATTTGAGTGGCCAGGAGTTGCTTTTGTCTGCCTTGTCACCTTACAGCCTAAAATTGAAAAACCAGAAAGTTTCTGTCTCAAGCAGATGCTCCTCCTAGTAAGACAGCAGCAAAATGAAAAATCTTGCCTTTCTTCCCATTTCCTCTCTCTGCTGCCCTCCCTGTGTCTTGCCTCCCTCAGTCAAGGTGGGAGCTCACCGGGAGTGCTGGGGGAAGGGAGCTGTCTGTCTCCAGGATCTGAGCAGACCAGGCTGACTTGCAGAAGGTAATGGGAAAACGAATGGAGTGCCTCACTGCATGAGAGTGATTTTAAGTGAAGGAAGGACTTCTAATTAGGCTGCAATAGTCAAAGAAGGTAGTGGGACTAGATCACCTTGTAACTTCCTGTTGGACAACCGTTTGCAGTAGCCAAATCCCAGGTATGTAGCGTTGGCCAGGGAGGGTTGCAGAAATAGTGACTTTCACTGGGAGCCAGAGAGTGGGTTCACAGGGCAATTTGGTGGCCACTGACATCGCAGAAGGAAGGAAATTGCTGATATGCAGTCTGTGCTGTGTTCCTGTGGTGTTGGTCTGGAGAGATAATGGCTTGATAGAACCAGGTTAAACTTCACCACTGCCTCAGCTCAGCTTCCAGTCCCAAAGACCAATGCCTAAAAGGCAGATGCAGAGTGATCCCCCATGGTTCAAATTAATAGAGAAGGAAGGGACAAAAATAGAGAATGTTGAACTTGAGAAAGGCAAAATCAAAATCAGAAGTAAACCAATGAATATTTATAGGACGCAGGCCACACAAAGGCATGCCAAAGTGTGATGGGGAACAGATCCGTGAAATGAGCTTTCAGGTCCCACCTGACCCTATTCTGCTGAGACATTTCCTCTCTCTGGGCCTCAGTTTCCACACTGTGTTTAAAATCAGAGCATTCGATCCTATGAT